TCTGTTATGTATTATCAAATTATTTATTTGGACCTCTAGTAAGTGTCGATGTCGACCCCTCGTCACTACTTCTACGGGGTTAGGCTAGATACTTACTGGGTATGCGTTGATTTACGCACTCATGGTGCACTTCTGCACTAAATGTGCAGGATCTGACAAGTTCCTTTGGTGATTATCTTGGCGCGTAGGCGCATATGTTGAGGAGACTTTATGTGAGCTATAACCCATACTACGCATCGCAGTCCACCGAATCTCCATCGTACTATTTATTTTATCTTGTCTTATTTACATTCCGGACAGATGCTATATTATTGTACTCCTTAGATAATGCTCATGCACTTGTGACACCGGATTTTGGGGGTTCCTACGGGTTGTTCATTATTGTAGTTTGTGTAATATTTTCATTTACCTTGTAAGTTCCATTTCATACTATTTTATTAATGAAAACTATGATTTTAAAGTATTAAAAAGAGTAATTTAATTGATCAATCACCGTTGGCTTACATGACAGCGGTGTTAGGCGCCATCACGACCTACAATGGATTTTGGGTCGTGACAACTCAGGTATCTTCAAGGAGCAATTCAATTTGGTCTTCGCATTCAAAGAGATAATGATTTCAAGCTACACATGTGTTTTGATGCGAATTGGGCTGGAGATGCGAGTGATCGAGCCTCCACTACGATTACATACTGTTCTTTGGCCAAAATCCTGTGAGCTGGTCATCCAGGAAACAAAGAACAGTTGCTCGCTCATCAACCGAAGCAGAGTATCGAGCGATTGCAAGTGCACTTGCTGAAACAAATTGGGTGACGAATCTGCTAAATGAACTACATGTTTCACTTCCACAAGCACCAACCATTTACTGTGACAATGTTGGTGCAACTTATCTGTGCGAAAATCCAGTATTCTATAGCCGCATGAAACATATTGCGGTGGACTTTCACTTTGTCCGCAAGCAAGTCCAATAGAATCAAGTTTGCATTGTTCATAATCATACTACATAAGTTAATCACCTACTACTTTACTGCTTTGACCAATTCTTTAGCTAGTAGTTAGGATTTTGTTAGTCCTTTATTTTCTCTAATAAATCTCCTTATTCAAAGAGTTTGTTCAGCAAGTAGTTTAGTCTTCCTCTTGTAGAGGAGTTAGTTTAGGGAATTGATTTTTCACTCTTATATTTAAAGGTTGCTTTGATTCAATAAATATATTAGCTTTTAGTGCTTCTCTTGTTCTTTTACCTTCAACATTGTTCACCACCTTCACTTTTTTGGTTGAGATTGAGTCGCAATAACCTGTCTGGAGAAGTTTCAAAATCATTGAGTAACTGCAAAAGCTTGCTTACAATTGATATTGGAGACAACAGAATCAATGGCACCATACCAGAGTGGTTCGGAGAAAATCTCTTTCTTTGCAAAAGCTTAGCATGATAAGCAACATGATTTACGGACCCATTCCACCACAACTATGCCAACTTTTTAGCCTTCAAATTCTTGATCTTTCCCATAACAATTTGACAGGTTCTATCCCTTCCTGCCTGGGAAGTTTGCGAGGTCTTAAGTCCATGAAATTTTACAAGTTGTTTCCCAATTACTACTATTTACCCAAGATGGAGTTGGTTAAGAAAGGAACAACGATGACATACACCTTTACTTTAGATCAGGTGAATCTTATTGATCTTTCCTGCAACAATCTACACGGTGAAATCCCGAATTGGCGACTTATAGTAGCTTGATTATAAACAACTCTTGGGAATACTACTGCTTTCATTTCCTGTTGGAAGTTATTATCAGGCGTTGTATTGTTTTCAAGGCTTGCTTGTACAGGTTTTTTTAGCATCAGAAGGAATTAGTTTCTAAGTATTTATCAAAACCAAAAACTGTTTTCGCTTATCATACTTTTTCTTGTTCTTTATGTTTGGTTTTTGTCCCTGTATTGTTGATTTTATTGCAGTGAAGATATGTCAATTGGCTATATATGAATGAAAAAAGGATGACATTTGTCATTCTGTTCCTCCCTCGAGTTTCTTAGTGTATTTTACTTTTAGAACACTAGAATTATTTAGAAGCATTGTAACACCCAAATTAATAAGGAGCTATTTCTGTCATTTAGCAACAAAAAAAAGAAAAAGAAATACAACCAAAGTCAAGTTCCTAGCGTGGAAACAAACATATGAATATGAAAAGAGAAAAAGAGAAAGCACGGATTCTTTAGCTTTAAAGAGAAAAGCAAGTCCTCTTTTGCTCCTTTGCGCTGAGTTAGCAGTAATTGTATTAATTTGATTTTGTTTAGCTTTAGTTCCCGACTTTCAAAATTTTGAAATGTTAACTTCAAATTTCAACTATTATCCTTTTGTTGACACGAAAGAAATCTCAACTTCGCAACCTGCTTTATGGCATTACTTACTTCAAAATAAATTTGATAACATTTTAGGATAAATGATGTTTGTCTTTAATTTGAAAATCATATATTTTTTATTGGTCATATGATTGTTGTTGTGATACTAATATTGTCTCCCTTTTTGCCCCTTTTGTCTTTTTATTTTTTTGAGCCGAGGATCTTTCAGAAACAACCTCTCTACTCCTTCGGGGTAGGGGTAAGGTCTGCGTACACACTACCCTCCCCATATCCCATTAATGAGATTTTACTGGATTGTTGTTGTTGTATATATTTTTTATTGGACTCCAAGTTTTCAAAAAGATTATAGGAATTTATTATACCTTTAAAAGTTTTGAAAATCTAATGAATTAGAGATCTCAGATTTGAGCCCGGAGTATGAAATTGCCTTTTTAGAGAACGTTTTACTCTCTAATGAAAGACTTTTCAGCATAAATCTGAATTTAGTCGGTCCGCTAACCAGATACCAAACAACAAGGACAAACTAAAAATCATTGTTGAAAATCAAATTGAAGACCGAACTAATACTAGTCATGTCATGTGTCATGAATATTGTCAAATATAGAAAACCATAGTCCACATCAATGATTTATTGATAGATGCAAGGATGCATAGTGCACTTATCCAAAAAAAAGCAATTGTAATCACTTTATTTTATTCTTCTTTTTGCCCATAGAAATAAAATAAAGGGAAAATACCTAAGATGCATAGTGCACTTCTCAAAAAAAAATTAGTTTCACGCTTAATCTTTACGGGCGTCTCATTAACTCTCTATACGTATTCAAAGTGAATTTAATACCTATCCAAAAATTGATGTGGCAAAAATTGTCCGCGGCTCGAACCCGTAACCTATAGGTCACACGGAAATAATTTTATCGTTGCTCCAATGCTACCCTTCATATTATTCTTTTTTCTATCATGAGCAAATGCTGTCTATGTCAAGGGGAGTATAAGATTTAAAATTGGCAACTTAATTGAATGCAGATTAAGAAAGGAGCCAAAAAATTAAAATGAAAGGCTCCATGAAATAGACAATCTAATTCCAACCATCAAAACTTAGTCGAGAGGCGGCTCAACACCACGTGTTGCTTAAAGCCAAAATTTAAAAAGAAGCCTTTAAAGATATTCAAGGTTAAGAAATGCCTTTTCACATCTAATCCTGTGATAATTTCATTAGCTTGAGATTGAAAAATTGTCTAAAAAAACACTTAAAGAATAGAAGAAGATTCTACAAAATCATAGTTATTGACAAAATTGATTCAAGTCTAAGTCTAACTCGGGATTATTACACAAATAACCGGTCAGGTTCAATATTTATTTTTTCTAGCTAGTATATATAGATTATACATTGATTATATACAATTATACATATATTACACATGAAATATACATAAGTTATACATTCGTCGGCTATTTATAGTTTATGAGATTAGGTGGGTAGCTATTTGGGTTAATTCTTCTTAGACGACAAATTAAGAAGTCGAGCCTACCCACCATGGGTGAGGTAACAAAAAATAAATACTTATAAAAAATAGGAAGTAACTATAAATGTAACAGTCTACAACTTTCAACTATAATTATATTTTTAAAAGGGAGTATAAACTTTAAAAATCGACAAATAATGATTGGTTAAAAATTGACAACAAACGATTAAAAACAATTCATTTATCACTAATAATAAATACATAAATTATTTATACAATTATAACTTGAGTAAATTTGGGGCCTTAATTGTTTGGGGGCCTAAAGCCATTGCTTTAGAGTCCGTTTGGATTGGCTTAAAAAATATCTTTTCAATAGAAATAACTTTTAAGCCAAAAAAATAACAAGTTGGGGTTACGCAACTTATTATTTTTTATTTGTTTTAAACAGTTTTAAACTTATTTTAAGCACTTTATAACTTTGTCAAACACTGCAAAAAAACTAAAAAAAAATTAAAAATTGATTTGACTACTTAAAAGTCAATCCAAACGACCTCTTAGCGGCTTTAGGGTTAAGCCGCTGATATATTCTAGTGATACTGGTCATGAAAGTCTTCCACGATTTGTGTGGTTTCAGTTAATTCTCACTTCCACTTCTCTTTTTCCCCTGTAATTTAAAAAATTAAAATAATATTACCCTTCAATTTCTGCTGTCTGATATCGACATATCTGTCCCAACTCCCAACTCACAACTGCCATGCATGTTAAAGACTTGGCATTTTGAATCTTCAGATAAATCAAGAGTTTCCGCGTCTTCAAAATTCACGAATAAATTTCATTTAGTATCAGTAAGTTAAATTAATCAAAATGTTGAACTAGTGGCCAGAATTAATAGTGCATGCCTTCTCGGAACTATGTTGTGCGAACTCTCCAAAATACTGCTGTACTCGTATCGGATCTTCCAAAAATGCACTATTTTTGAAGAATCCGACGCGCACCCAACAACATTTTCGGCGAGTCCCAGCAACGTAGCTAAGGAATGAACTAAGCATAATAAATACATCTCAAATGACATCTTTGCGATTATTATTCCTCGTCTTCCTATATAAACAGACCCCAAAAACTAAAAGCAATATACTTTGAGCTTACCATCTCTATTAGAATAACAAGTTTATCTGATCAAAATGGGACTTTTAGTTGCCGTACTTGTTTTCTTTCTTCAATCCTTTCCTCTACTTGTACCAGCTGAAGCCACTAAAACTGCATTTTTACCACTCACAAACACTAACGAAGTCAAAGTGAGATGTGTTAAGAGTGAAAGGAAAGCCCTTTTAAGATTCAAAGAGAATCTCACAGATCCATCTGACCGACTGGCTTCTTGGGTTGGCAAAGAATGCTGCAACTGGAAAGGTGTTTTCTGTGACATACAAACTGGTAATGTCATTAGGCTTGATCTGAATGATAAATCAGGCAATTGCATTTGGAAGAAAAAGGGCTATTTTATTTCTGGCAATTCATCATCTTGTTTGGGTGGCAACATAAGTCCTGCTTTACAAGACTTGCAACACTTGGAATTTCTAGACTTTGGTGGCAATGACTTCCAAGGACTTGCCACTCCCAGTTTCTTGGGTTCTCTTGGAAATTTACAATATCTTAACCTCAGTCATTCATCCCTTATTGGTATTCCTCCTTCATTTGGAAATTTATCAAGTTTACGTTATTTAGACCTTTATGCATATTCGTATCCTTACGATAATGCTGAAAGTAGTTGGATCAAAGATTTGAGTTGGGTTTCAGGTCTGTCTTCTTTGAGGTATCTTGATCTTTCTTTTATAGACCTTTCTTTGGCAACAAACTGGCTTGAGGATTTTAATAAGCTGCCATGTTTAGTGACTCTTCGTTTGCAAAACAGTAGTCTTCACTATCGCCCTTATTCCTTCCTCAACTGGAATATGACTTCTCTTTCTTATCTCTCCCTTTCACAGAATAACTTTGTTAATGCTGTGTTGCCTAAATGGTTGTCTAATGCCACCGCGATTGAGACACTTTATATTAGATACAACGATATTGAAGGCCCCATATCAAATGTTGAGTGGGGTAAACTCTGTAATTTGCGGGAGTTGTATCTAATGCACAATAAACTTAATGGAGACATAAGTCGAGTAGTGGAAGGATTGTCCAGCTGCAGCAACACAACCATAGAGGTCTTACGTCTTGGGGATAACACGTTGACAGGACAACTGCCAAATTCGTTAGGACATTTGAAGAAGTTAAGGATTCTTACTATTTCAATTAACCTGATATCAGGCACGATTCCAACATCTATTGAACATCTTTCACGGTTGGAAAGTTTGCACTTGGGAGAGAATCAATTAAAGGGACCCTTACCTGATAGTATTTTTAGTTTTTCTGAATTAACCTAGTTGCGACTTGCAACAAACGCTTTAGAAGGCAATCTTTCACAAAATCACTTTGCTAAACTCCATCAACTGAAACTTTTATCTCTAGCATGTGGAAAAAGTTTTGCAGTCAACTTGACTAATGAATGGGTTCCTCCATTTAGCCTCACCAGTATCGAGCTTAGAAGTTGCAATTTGGGTCCCAAGTTCCCGACATGGTTGGAAACTCAAAAGCAACTTGAGTTTGTTGTTCTCTAATAACTCCATTTCAGATCCTATACCTCCTTGGCTTTGGACTCTGTGCTCACAATTGCAATGGCTCGATCTATCGGATAATCAGATTGGTGGAACTCTTCCTAGGTCAGTAAGATTTCCAACAATCTCAAGCTGGACAGTACTGGACTTCTATTTCAGTTACTATTATGGTGTCGTGGTGGACTTAAGCTCCAATCACTTCCATGGTTTGTTACCTCTTTGGCCAAATGTGACACATTTGAATCTTGCAAACAACTTGTTTTCAGGATCTATCCCCTTAAACATTGGTCACGTGATGAAACAACTCAAGGTCTGAGATCTTTCTGGAAATGCTTTTACTGGATCTATACCATATTCCATAGCAAGAGTGAAGCGGCTATCGAGATTGGACCTTTCAGACAATCATTTGTCTGGAACGATCCCTGATTGGTGGTATGATTTGCAACAACTTCAGGTCATAGATTTGTCAGGAAACTATCTTTCAGTTAGTATTCCTCCTTCAATATGTTCACCACCTTCACTTTTTTGGTTGAGAGTGAGTCGCAATAACCTTTCTGGAGAATTTCCAAAATCGTTAAGCAATTGCAAAAGCTTGCTTACACTTGACATTGGAGAGAACAAAATCAATGGCACGATACCAGAGTGGTTCGGAAAAAGCCTATTATCTTTGCAAAAGCTTAGAATGACTAGTAATATGATTCATGGAAACATTCCAGCACAACTATGCCAACTTTCTAGCCTCCATATTCTTGATCTTTCACATAACAACTTTTGCAGGTTCTATCCCTTCCTGCCTGGGAAGCTTGAGAGCTCTTAAGTCTGTGAAATTTTACAAGTGGTTTCCCAACTATGGCTATTTCAACTATGTTTTTACACCCAAGATGAAGTTGGTTAAGAAAGGAACAATGATGACATACACCTTTACTTTAGATCAAGTGAATCTTATTGATCTTTCCTGCAACAATCTTCACGGTGAAATCTCGAATGAGATTACAGGTCTCTCAGCCTTGGGCACATTAAATTTATCTTGCAACCAATTATCAGGAAGAATTCCAGAGAACATAGGGAGGATGCAGCAATTGGAGACACTAGACCTTTCCTCTAACAATCTCTCGGGTTCTATCCCGTTGAGCATGACATCCATCACCTCATTGAGCCATCTTAACTTGTCATATAACAACATGCATGGCCCTATACCAACAACATACCAATTCGGAACCTTTACTGATCCTTCATGTTTTGAAGGTAATCCAAAACTTTGTGGGAAACCATTGATTACAGAATGCTCTTCACCTGGAAAAAAAGAAATGAAAAAGATAATTGAAGACAACGATTATGATGAGCATGAGATAAGGCTATGTTTTTTTGTGAGCGCGGCAGTGGGATTTGTTGTAGTGTTTTTGGCGACATTCAGCAGCTTAATGATAAAAAAATCGTGGGGATACTGCTACTTCCATTTCTTGGAGGAAGTTGGAGAAAGAATTATCAGGTGCTGTTTGGCCTTCATGACTTGCCTTTTCAGCGGCAGGAGGACTTAATTTCCATAGTATTATTGCAACTACCTAATAACTGTTTCTGCTATTATCTTATTCTTTTCTTGTTCTTTCTGTTTGATGTTTGTATTAACTCTAGAGCTTTGATTTTATTGTAGTGAAGATATGGCTGTGGTTGTGTATATAAAATAAAAACGATGAGCTTTGTTATTATGTTCCTCCCTTGAGTTTCTCTCTCTGTGTGTGTTTTAACTTGTACAAACACAGTTTGCTTAAATAATGTAATATTACGTCATGTCCTTATCTTTCTTTTAAAATTCAGGAGTCTCCGCGTACGTGCTTTGTTTCGTAACCAACTCTCAATACTATAATGTAATTGATTGCTCTATTTTTTTATTTCTTTCATATTCAATGCTTAGATGATGAATTTGTAGAAGAATTGAATTGGATTCTTTAACAAATTAGTTGATTCAAAGAGTTATTTTGTTAAATCAGTTAAAAAATTAATTACTTTTTCTCAAAATTAGAGGAAATAATTTTTCTTGATTAAAATTCTTAATATTTAGCTCATTCCAAGTTTTTAATATTTAACTATAACAATATATCTATCAAATAACAATTATATGTTCAAAGGATAAAAAAAAATTGATCTGACGTTTCACTTAAAATTTTTTAGTTAATTTTAAAGTCTTAAATATTAAAAATATAATTAAATTACAATTATTTTTCGATATCAAATTTAATTTTAACGGATAAAAGATTGACCAAAATGTCATTGTAATAAATTCTAAAATTTATTGTCCTTAACCACTTTATTAGAGTGTAAAATTTTAAATCCTTGATGTATTCAAGTAAAATACCAACATAAAATTATTAGTATACTGTAACATTTAGTTGAGTCGTCAATATAGGCTTGGCCCGTTGGGCCAGCCCATTCTGGCGCGTGAATTAGCAGGGGTGGCTTAGAATTTGTGGAGCCCATTTAAAAATGAGGCTTTTAAGACCGACCCAAGTAAGCCCGTGACCTGTGAGGCTTGACTGAGGCTGGACTAGGCCGGCCCGTGGGCCTAATAAAAATATTTATTCAAAATATAAAAAATATACTGCCTCTAGTGATGGAAAGTGAGAATTGGGTCTTTACTTAGAGGATCCAAAGCTTGATTTTGAGAAGTTTCAAGAGATGGATGTTGTCATGTATTGGAAGGACAATTCTAGAAAATATCCCGATCTTTCAGTAATGGCGCGTGATGTACTTAGTATTCCGATTACTACTACAGCATTGGTGGGCGTGTTCTGACTAAGTAGAGAAGTTGCATCATCATGAAAATGTCCAAACACTTGTTACTACTCGAAATTGGTTGCACGATTTTTCCCAAACTCAAACTGGTAATATGTTTTTCTGTGAATTTGAATATCATTAGTTTTAAAATTTAATTATTCTTAATTTTTAACTAATTAATATTGCATATGAATTGTAGATGTAGATAAAAGTAAAGATGTTAAGACAACATTGTCACAAGCGGATTCAAATGTGTTTGATGAAGATGATGTGTTGAATATCCCATAATCGCCATGGACGTTCACTTGAATAGTTTGTTTTGAGTTTTGACTTTTAGTGAATGAAATATAGTCTTGTCTTTTACTTTTTTAATGTTTATTGTGATATAGTGGAATAGTATAAAAAGTTATTAAGTTTTGCGATATTTTTCCAATAAGCAGGGCTTTGAACCCAAATACGTTACCTACAATGGAAGTAAATATGTTGGTAACAGAACCTATATTTTTTTAACTTTTAAATATTTATCTCTTTTTTAGGTTAGAACTTAAAGAAAAAATATAAAATTATATTTTAAAAAATAATGGGCTGGCCCGTGGGGGCCGCGGTCCACATAGGAGTGGGTTGTCACGACCCAAAATCTATTAAGGTCGTGATGGTGCCGGACATCGCTGTCAGGCAAGCCAACAATACAAACTTCACTTAATTACCCATTTTAGTATTTTTGAAATCAAAACTTCTTCAATGAAATAATAAAGATAAAACTCATAGAGTAAATAATAAATATTTTTAGCAACTAAATTTTTAAACAATTCACAACAATTTCCAAAACCCGGTGTCACAAGTGCATGAGCATTTACTAGGGAATTAAAAATAAAATACAGCATCTGTCTAGAATACAAATTAGACAAGGAAAAGTATAATAACCCTGAAGGAGACTCTGTTGGTTGCGGATCGTAATACATAATGCAGCTCACATATGTCCCCACAATTATTAACCACACCTCTACACCCACAAGGCAACTAGACATATATGTACATGTATAATAAAATATGCAGCAAGTGTAGTATGAGTACAAAAATAACGTGTACCCAATAAGTATCAAGCCTAATCTCGAAGAGGTAGAGACGAGATGACCGATTTTGACACTCACTATGGGTCAATAATATTAAATAATCATGAAATAGAATATTTATATCAACGTGATTCACAGAGTTAACAGTAATTTTATTGACCAATAGAAATAATTAAATTCCTTCAAATGTAGTAATTCTCAATATATTAATTAAATTCCTTCAATTCCAATAAATTTCTAAATTTATCAATTAGTCTCATTTACAAGAATAACAATAATTCCTTAACAAGCAAAGGTAATAATTCATTAAATTTCAAAGATTTTCGATTTATCAATTAGCTTCACAAGCTGCAATAAACTATTAAGGTATCGTGTGATTATTATTATTAAGCACGATTTCTGCCGAGGACGTA